TATGCAGATAAATATCAGTTATTTCTTGATCCAAATCTCTATTTGAATATTGACTATTTTAAGTGGATAAGAGTTATCCTTTTATCCTTATTTGCTGATCCAAACTCAGATCCGCCCCTATTTAATTAGTCCAATTAACCCAGTTCGAAATGGGCTTTAGGCCCATTAAGCTTTCAGGTTCACTTCCTTTTAATGCTAGTTAGTTTGGCTCTCTTTGCATGGCGTGGGACTTTATCATTGATCTGCACATCAGTCACATGGGTTCAGACCTGCCTTATTTACAAGGCCTGACTGAATTCATTGTAAGACACAGTGAACCCCTGAGTCCATCACCACGGGCTCTTAATGGGCTCAACATTTACACTAAATGGTCATTGGGTCAAGCCACCTTATAAAAACCCAAGGACTGTGGGCAGATGCAAGATTAGCCCATCAGGTATATCCCTCAATGGTCTTATACTTAATCTCTCAACCTTTAATGATCACACACTRCCCGACAAGAGAGGACCTCTCCCTCGACTGCAAGGTACAGTGTTGCAATCTCTACTCACATGGACCCCAATAATTAAAACCTTTTGCAAACAATTTGAAACCATAATATATAAGTATATATCTATATAAATATATTTTGCAAAACCAAATTTCAAACACATTTGGAATTCACTGCTGGCAGTTTAAGTTTCCATCAGAGATAGTGCATTTTCCCAATCATTCACTTTGTCCGACAAAGGAGCTGATCCTGTCACYGTGATCACCCAATCAGATGAATTCTCTAACTGTCTCAACACACATAGGTTTTGATCCCCTCTAAGGATCTCACTGATTGACATATCAAAGACATCCCAATCCGATACCTAGTGCAGTATCATAGTCGAGTATAGGGGTCATGTGTAACATTATAGTTTTATCCATCTATCTCCAAGGTCTGGGGCAATACTATAATTTTGGTTCGGTTCAGAGTTTTAAGAAAACCCACACTGCATGTACCTCAGGTTTCACCCTAACAACTGAGACAAGCCACTCGACCAACTTTGCAGTACATCAGTGTCAACCTTTGCAGGATAAATCTCCCTATATCTATCAAACGACTGTAAAGATTCTAAATTAACACGAGTCTCATATGTGTCTAGTTTAAGGGTATTACACAAAAACGCACCACAATAACATGACTCAAATATGTACTTTATTCGTTTACAATAAATGTCATCATGTACATCATGTTGATTGAAGCTAAGGGCATACGCTAACATTTAATTCAAGAGGTGAACCAAACTGGTCAAAATTAACATGATTAATTTGCACGAATTATGTTTGTAGGGAGTGGTTCATTTTAATTAACTAGATGTCCACAACAAATAATTTAAGAACTATGTTGCGTGGCAAATCACACGCTTCAATATGCGATACTATGTATATTTTTTTTCACATAATAACATTAGTATAGGGCCTTGTTCATTTGGTATATTTTCAACATTTGATATTTTAAAAGCAAAATTTTTAGACTTYGATTTGCTATTTTAATACTTCTTATTTCAAATTTAACACATTAAACCTTATAATATTCTTATCTTTTGTCACAAAATGCTACTTACACAATTTAGTCATTATTAATTTATTATTTGCAATACACTCCTACTATGCCTTACTTCAATTTTATAAAAATAATATTAGCATATTAATATTTTTAAATATGGTTTTATTATTATTCATATATTATTTTTTGATTAAAGCTTTATTCAGATAGTATTATAATAATACGAAAATATTATTCCATAATTATTAAAACTAATACTATTATAAATTATTTCTTTATTATTAAAATACTATTTTAGTATTATTTTGTTTTTAACATAATATTATCACATGATTATTTTACTTTTTTATGTTATGTTAATAATATTTTTATTATTGTGTTATTTAAATCCTATTAATACCTTATTATTAATTAACAATGTTAATTACCGTTATTGTAAATATCCATCCTTACAATTAGGGATGGCAATTTTTCCCATTTCCCCGATCCCCGTGGGGATCCGCCCCGAATGGGGTGGGGATGGGGAAATTTTCATCCCCGTTAGCAGGGACGGGGAGAGCACTCCCCACCCCATGGGGACCCCGATCCCTGCCCCGTGGGGTCCCCACTAATATATATGTATGTATGTATATATGTACACATACATCTATATATTAATATTTTWAAAAATATGGTTGAATCTTTTCTAATAGGATTGTAAATTTTAATTATTTTATTTTTATTTTTAAATAAAATAAAAAACAAAAAAAAATTGTTAACATTATAAAAAATTATGGGGAATGGGGATCCCCACGGGGATGGGGATGGGGACAAGTGGACAACCTTGTCCCCATTAGCGAGGACAGGGAGAATGGTAAAGTAACAAATTGCAGAATTCAACATTTATATTACAAAATAATATTCTATATACTCAAGTATTAAATAAAACAAAAAAGCATCACTTTCTAAAATACTTCATTTTAGAGTTTTTTCCCTATTTTTAAACATAAAAAATTGGAGTTTGGACCATTAGCATGACCTAGAGCATTCCCCCGTTTAAATATAGGGTTGTGATATGCTACCAACAATATCCCATTGGACATTGCAACAGTATGTTAGGAGTATCTCCTTTATCAATCATGGGAAGATGTTCCCAAATGTATGGTTTCAATGGTTTGTTGGGACATGGTTGGGATTGTGYGTTGGTAGCCGATCCAAACTCTTGTCCCATGTTCAATGACATGAACGCTTAGAGATTAGTGACATAATTTCAGAGAAGTGAAACGGATCTTAGCAAGCATGGGTCATTAAGTTGAGCATTTAGGTTGCAATTGACATTCATTTTTTAAGGATTTATCTCCTTTTTGCAGTTAAAACTCAGTTTTTTATTAAGGGCATTTTAACTACAGAAGTCAAAAAGGAAATAAGTCAAATAAGGACTGCCAAATGCAGCCCTAGTCCCTTTAAATTTCAGAAATGCTCAACCAAGTTTGATCAAGTTGTAATTCTATTACAATTTGTCATGGTGTGTACAATCTTGAATAAGTCCCTTATTAGGGGATATAATTATTTTATTACATTTTTTGACTATTATAACATGCTTATCCAGTCCATAATGTATTCCCCTGCAACCTCTAACATTTGTGCATATTGGATGGAGACAAATAATGTGGTAAAAGGCATTCACTATAAACATCTCACTAGGCACTACTTTAGGGGGTCGGCCCAACACAATCCTTAGCCTGAGTCCGTGTAGGCTTGTGTCATGATGCAGGCCGAGTTGGTATGTGTGTTAAGTCTTAGGTCAGGCTGGGTTACGAATCGGGCTAATCCATGATTTTAAAAATTAAAAAAAAATAATGAAAAAGCTAACATAAATTAAAAAATAGATAAAAAATAAAAAAAAGATTTTAAAATTTTATTTTATATTAATGCTAGGCTAGGCTACAAATTAGGCTAAACCATTTTTTAAGAATTTTGAAAAAAATAGTGAAAATTTTAACATACATTAAAAAATATCTTAAAATTACATTTTAGTCCGAGCCCACAAGGGCCTGTGCCATGTTGTAGACTGGGCTGGTCCGCGGGCCAAGTCTTAGGCCAAGTTGGGCCACAAATTGGGCTAAGATTATTCATGGGCTTTGTAGCAAAATAATTCTACTTGACCCATTAACTGCACTAAATTAATTAATTAAATAATTTGAGATAGTCTTTACCAATAGTGTGTTGGTAATATATAAAAATTTATTTATTTATATACTTATTTTATTAAATTATTAAAGTAATTAATAATTTAATAATCTAACAAATTATCATTGCTAGAAAAGTAGAAAAGTAAGACATAGAATCGTGTATATATTTATATATACCTTTGGCAAGACTTATCATCATGTTTTGCCTTGCAGCCCCCTCCGCTAGTTGGTTTAAAAGCAATACAACTTATCAGGTCCTTTGGCGAGCACAACCAAAAAACGAAATGTCCTTTGATGCGCATTGTGGGATAAGGTTATCGGGAAGCTCTGTAGCTTATAGGGTTAGAAAATTTAACACGAGAAGTGGTGGTTCAAATTTGAGTATTCATTCCCATCTTAATTCGAAGGAATTGGAATTCCATTCTCATTTCAATTCAAGGAATTGAAGTAATTTCAGAAACTGCTCAATAACGTGGATATATAGAGAAGCCTAAATCCTGATGAACTCAGACCCTACACAATCCTAAGACCCGTGCAGCTGACAAATTCCAGTCAGCGCGCTAACTCCAAATCCACCTGGCTGTGACAGTCATTTACGTAAGGACAAAAACAAATCTCGCCAACTCGTGGCATGGAAATTTCAATCCAAACACTTCCTTCTTCTGATGTGTGGGATGCGAGGGATTCGATCTCGTGGCGTCAACCTCGCCCCTCCCCCTTCATCCTATTTGTCGACGCCACTTGCACATTTGTCAGCTAGCGAGCGTACATACGTCCCGGCTCAAATTAGCCACGCCATTATACGATTAAATAAAAGAGCTCACCGCCCCTTCCCCTAGTCTCCCTTCTTTCCCCACACAGTATCTATTAACTAGGGCGAACTTTGTAGAGAAAGCTTTGGCTGACCACGTTCGCCAGCCTGGGCTGCCAACATTGTTCGGGTCGTTTCTGAATGCATGGCTGGCTGAAGTAACGCGAAATGTGTCACGCATAAAGATCCCTATTGTCAGCCCAGGCTGTCGAACATGGACAACCAGAGAAAACTTATTTTCACTGTTCCATGTTCTATCTACTAACAAACGTGTAATATCATTCATGCAAGGAAAACGAGTAAATGCTCAGTGGCAGCTATTAATCTTTTTTGTCAATAATTAAATACTAAAAAAGTTCATTAAATTATAATTCAGTTTTCAATATTTTTTATTAAATTAAAATTTTGTCGTAGGCTTATATGCTATAGCTAGAAGCCTCATTTTGCGTTTTGTGTAGAGAGAGAAAATAGTTAAAGAGAGAGGAGAGAGATAGGGAGGAGAGGGAGAGAAAGGAGCCCTGGCTTGTTCCCATATCTCCTTTATTGTTAATAAAAATTTTTATTTACATTTTTGAGCCTTCGCCCAGCTGCTGCCCTTCCCGACCCCAATCTCTTCTCTCTTCTCTGTTTTTACGCCTTACGCGGAAGGGAAAAAAACCTTCTTTTCGCCATTGACGAACTTTGTTCATCATTGGAGGTATTTGATTCGATCTCCAGAACTTCACTTTGTTCTTCTTCTTGCTTTTTTTGGTTTCGATTCTTATTCGTCTGGCTCCTGTTCTAGATTCATGCGGGTTTGTTTGGTGCGGTTGGGTTTTGGTTAGGGTTTATCCGAATCTGCCTGCGCTTTCCCTTTCTCTCTCTACGCACTTTTTGTGGCTCTTTTGATTTGGGGTTCATGAATTAGGTTCCTACATGTGGGTTTCGTGTTTTGTTTAATTTTTTGTTGTTTTTTCTTCGTGTTTTGTTTATCGAGATATTTCTTCTATATTAGGGTTTACTGGGTTGTTGTTTCGAATGTTGGCTTTCGGTTCCGGTAACTTTAACGGATGGGTCCAAGGGGTTTCTTATGCAAAATGTCTCTTTGTTTCACTTTCGCCCTTTCTCTTTGAATCAATTTAAAAGGAAATGCTGGAGTTGTTTTGGTTTTATCTATAAAGAGGTTCTTTATTCGGGAAATGGAAATTTTCATGTTTATACTTTTTCTACCGATTGGATATTTTCAATTTATTGTTGTGTTTCTTTTAATTCTGTTCCTAGCTGGTAGCCTAGCATGATGAAGATACTTAGTATGTCTATTTGTTGCGAAATTTGATTTCCCAATTGAGTCCATGGGAGTTAAGTTGCAACTACTATTAGTTTCTTCTTGGATTATTGTTTTTTGCTTGGTGCAGGTGAAGGGGTACTGAGGAGAAATTTCTTGAGTGGGTTATGGCTGGGAATGTGAGTGTTGATTGCGGGGTTGGGAAGTCTTCGGAGGGGATTTCAAGTGGGCAGCGGTGCCAATCTGGGGAAGCTCTTGCGGAATGGCGGTCCTCTGAGCAGGTGGAGAATGGAACTCCATCTACTTCACCCCCATACTGGGACACTGACGATGAGGATGATTGTGGTATGCTTTTATTTCCCCTTGCTTACCAATTTGGATTTCCATACTCTGGATGTGTAAATTAGCTGCATTTCCCAAGGGTTCTGCCATTTATAGCAATTGGTTATTGACTGGCAAGCCAGCTACCTAAAATGGAAAAGAAGAAAAAGAAAAAAAGGCTGAGAGAGAAAAGATATGTCATTGCACATTGAATCAATGGTTATGGTAGTCTGTGAACTCATTGATTACTTGAAGGGAAAGTACAAGCTCTGTAATGGATTGGTGCATCATTAACTTCCTCCATTATGGCAGATTGCACTGTTCAGTAATGTTTAGGATATTGTCAGCTTTCTCTGCTAAGATTTGCCAGAGGAAAAGAAATGAAAGTACTTTGAGTTGTAGGAATGTGATTGCAGAGAAATTTTGTAGGAGGTACCACATTTCCAGTTTTACTCACAAAAGAAAGAAAAGGCAGCTGCCTGCATCTGAAGTGTATAGTAGGCATGTCACTCCAATTATTTTACATGGATACGAGTATGGGTGTTGGAATTTGACATAGCTACGAGCAAGGTTCAAAGTATCGATACAATATGATTGGGCGTATCATATCATATCTTTTGGGGTCCAAACAGGTGTTTTTGGGAACCCCTTATATATATAAAAACCAAAATTTGAAAAAAAAACTAAATAAAACATAAAAAGCGCATGGTTTAATTTACCAGTACACCTCTGCCAATACACAGAGGTGTATTGATACTTTGAACCAAGGTTCAAAAAATGGTTTAGCTGTCAGGGCCTGGTTCAGAGGGTAGCCGGGACTTAAACCGGCCCCTCTGAACCAAAATAAAAAAAGTAAAAGTTAAAAAAAAAGGATCGATACTGGCTGATATGCACCCTACCRGCGTATCGGCCAGTATTGATTCTTTGAACCTTGCTTTGAACTATGGGTATGCGGTGTTAGGATCAAACAAACTCAAGAAAATAGGATTTGGGGACTTGTGGATATATCTTATTAATATTACATGGATAGTTGAATAATTGCTGGAATTATATATTAATGCAATCAAATTTTATTGCAAGAGTGTGATGTTCCTTAGACACATATTATGGATTTGGCAAAGAAAAGAACCCTCTCAAATGCTATGCTGGTAACTTGGTACTGGTGTATGTGTGTGACTGAAATGGGTATTTATCTGTTTTGAAATATCCATGTAACATAAAATTCCAATTAACAAGATCAACAACATAGATAATAAAGTAATAGTTCGGAGAATCATTACCAAATGGAATTTATAAAAAAAAAATCATTATCAAATGGATGGTTCTATAGTGGGAAGAAAAGGGGAAAAAGCAGTAGGTTGCTTCTAGAGTTTTTAGATTTGACATACTAGTGTAAGAGCATGTGCTATGCATGTCTGCAAATAAGTATTAACCATATATGATATATGGTATTTGTTTTTTGTTTTTGTTTTTGTTTGGGGGCATTAAGTCTGTATCAGGATGAGATGGTTTTTTGTATATCCTCTGTTCATTTCTCATTGTACAGGKTTTTTTTTTTGTTGTTGATCTTTTTAATGAAAGCACTTTACTTTACAGTTCTCAAAAAAAAAAAAAAAGATATATGTATTTGGATTTAACTTTCAAGACCTGCATGATACCCAAGGCAAGTATATGTTTTATATAGTATATACATGTTTCTAAGTAATTAAACAACAACAGAAACAGCATGGTGCCCAACTTATTGCCCAATCAATTTTCCCACTATAGGAACTTTGAGGGATATGTGGCCTATATTTGTTTATATATCAGAAAAGGTTATTTTATAAGATGGAGAAGCTAATTTTTTTTTTCCTGATTGATTAAGTTACCTAGTTAAACCTATCTTTTTTTTTGGTGGTTAAGTTAACATTTCTATACTTTGTTTTACTGGTCATAAGAAGTGAATATACTTTGAAGCGGAATGTTAACTCCAAAGGTTTAATTGCCAACCAAGCCACTTTTTTCCTGACAGTGTTATGAAAGTGCAAGGCACAAGGTGAGGTGCACTCCTTTTTGAGGCAAGGTACAAAATTTTGAAAAAATTTCAACAAAGAAAATAATACATAAAAAAGATGCAAAGATGGATTTAAAAGAATAAATGTTCTAAAAAGCCTACTGGTTCAAATTAAATTCCATAAGCATAATATATAAACATATTTGGAGTGAAAATGTGGAGGTGAAAGCAAAAAAAAGTGGACTTTACTACAACAGTCCAAGCATGTCAAACTTTCAATTTGTTTATTTATCTCCTGGTTGTGCCACTTAAAGTAGCTAGTTTGATGTTAAACTTAAACATCTTCCAATCTGAACCCTAGGAGATTGGTGGTCTACCTCTGAAAAGGCCCCTTGAGGCCTTGAGGCAAGCCCAAACAAGTCTATGCAGAGGTTAGAGCAGTGCCTCCAGCCTAAATTTTTGGCTTATAAAGGGGTTGATTTTGTGATTTTGTTCAGAGTGTATTCTCTTTTAGGATGAAGGTCCAGATATTGGTTGTCCTGTTTTTGCTTCTTTAATGAAAGTTTTTCTGTTTGAGATCCTATTTGCCGGAACTAAGGCTTCAGTTGTTTTTAAATTTAATAGACCATTATTAGTATACACACAGCATTAAAAAGGTAATTTAAGAGTTGACAAACCATGACAAAGGTGCAAAGGACAAAATATTCTATAAAAAGTGACAGGAATATTTAAAAAAGCTACATTCCTGGGCTGAGGTGCAAGGCATGCCACACATATGCCTTTTGAGAGGATTTGCACCTGGGTTTAGGCAATGTGCATTCCTTGAAATTTGCCTCGCTTGTGTGCCTGATTTGCAAGTTTACAAGACTATGATTAATGCTTTGGAGATGTTGTTGTAGATTGTAAATTTTGAATTCCTAAGTGCCAATTAAATGTCTTGAGTACTGGTTCCAACTATCCATTGCTTTAAGGATTCTGAGATTATGGATTTTAATGTTCCAAAGGAAGCGTCTCCTTGCTATTTTTTTATTTGTTACTATCAATTTCTATTAGATGATAAAGAAGAATGAGCTGATCACAAACATMCCAAGCATCCCTCAAAGTAGATTGGCATATGCCACCTATCTTATTTACCCCTTGTTTGGCCATGGCTTTAGCCAAACACGTTTCTGATCCATAGACCCAAAAAAAGTTGGCTCCAATTTCCCTTGCTAACTTTCCTATCACCCTCAGATGTTCTGATTCATGCATAGACTTTGATTGGTGTTCTTTTTCCAACCCATAACCACTCTAGAATTCTCTTCTACCATCATGTTTCTAACATATAATGATACTCTCAACCATAAACATTGCTGTAGTACTGCACTACTGGTAATGACTTAACCCTTGTAGAGTCCCCTATAGGTCCCAAGTATATGAAATGAACATTATAGATCTGTGACAATATCTAAAAAATCATATGATCGTAACTCTAGGGTAACCATATTTGCAGCCAAGTGCTGCAACAATTCCATTTTAACGAGACTGGTTACCAAGTGCTGCAACAATTCCATTTTAATTTGACTTGGTTACCAAGTGCTGGATACCATTTCAATGAGACTGTAGACCTAAATGTTGAGGACAAAGCCACTCAATTCCATTTTATAAGATGCCATACATGAAAGGATCATATATACTCAAAGTTTTGATCCAATGCACCATTTTTGCTGAAATGTGTTTAATAATTGGCTCTTTAAGTATGCTTTTTCATTGAAAATTCTTTCATTCCTCTCTTTCTATGTTGTCCAAAAATTGTTTCCCAAAATGTCTCATTGGCAATCATGAACTGGTGAATGTAATTATCCAAAAAAAAAAAAACTATGTTCTGCAAACTTGAATCTCATTGTCACCATTGGCCGGTATTTAGAAAGAAGATAAAAACTTATATGCATTTTATTTCATTAATACTGAAAATAACATTATGAATAGTACCCATAGGATTTCCTTAAAATTTTGCTCCACATATTTTTTTTTGATCAGTAGAAAAGTGATTTTATTAAAATTTGGAATGAAGAAATGATTAGTACAGCTTTTTAATCAGAGTGTCGATCCCACTTTGCTAATCCAAGTTGCATGGATGTCCAAAACAGTTGTTGCCTCATAGCCCCTTGTTTAGCTGGGGAGTCAGCTAAACCATTTGCACACCTTCTAACCCATTTAAATTTAACCGTGATTTCTTTTGCAATTGTTTCCACTTCCCTTGGTACATATTGAAGGGACCAAAGAAAAGGAATACACATATTGGATTTAGCCCAGGATATGACTACTTGTGAGTCTCTTTTCACTTCAATCATCCTAAATTCTGACTGCTTAGCTAACCTGAGGCCTTGCAATAAAGCCAACAGTTCAGCCTTCAAAGAATTTCGAAATCCAATTGGTTTTGCTCCCCATATTCGGTGGGCATAACCTGGAGGAGTGGTTTTATTAAGCTCAACTTTGGAAGATGCTTTTTTGGTAATCTAGGCCCATGAGGTGTGCAAGTGTTTATGGAGGACCTGATGATGATTTTAAGATTTTCAGAGTTGATTGGTGAATGGTGAAGGAAGTGCTATTTAGGCAGAAATATAATCTATTTTTAAAGGTCTAAAGCTGGGTTATACTTTAGTTTGGAAAAGGTGATTTTAGACTTGGGAAGGAGATTCCCAAGTTGTTAGGTTGGATGCTTTCATCAGAAGATGGTCCTTTGATGCCAAGGCACCAGATTAGAGAATCTCAGTCTTTGGAATCTTCTTTGAAGTGAGTTCCAAGATTGGTGAACTCTCTTGCCAATGGGTTAAGTCAGGGAAGGTGCCTTTAGGATACCCTCAAGGAAGCTAAAAAGCTAGAAAAAGTGATGCGTGATTTTTTGTGGGAGCCAGGGGAAGTGAAGAAAGACCATTTGATTAGGTGGGAGATAGTTAGCAGAAGCAAGGAAGAAGGGGGACTAGGGCTAGGTAACTTTGTTCTTAGGAATGAAGCTCTGCTAGGGAAGTGGTTATGGAGATGGTCTTTGGAGAGAGAGAGATTGTGGGACAAGGTGGTAACTAGCATTTATGGCTGTTCGGGGAATGGATGGGATGCTGGGATATCTCGAGGGGTGACCCTTGCAACACCATGGGAGGCTATACATGGGATCCTTCCCCATTTTCTCAGTTTGGTCAGGTATTATTTCTACTCTGGAGTCTGGAAATAATGTTATTTTATGGGAAGACCTTTGGGTGGGAAACCAACCCCTTAAAGACCTTTTTTCCATCTCTTTACTCCCTTTCTCGTTACAAGAAAGATCCAGTTTCCAAATTTATCTCTTCCTCGATTTCTCCTTTGGCTTTGAACTGGGATTTTGGTTTTCAAAGAGAGTTAAGTGATGGTGAATCTGCTTGTGTTTTTGAACTATTGTCATCACCTGAGTCCACTTGTTTGAATCCCCCCAATTCTGATTTAAGAATTTGGACCCCTAACCTGAAATGCCCCTCCTTTTTCAAATCCCTTTGCTATTCTTCTGCACCCCTGACTTTCCCAGTTAAAGAAGTCTGGTAGACCCATTCCCCCAAAGATTGCTGTTTTCTGTTGGGAAGTATACTATGGTAAGATTAATACCTTTGAAAACCTGCAAAGGAATAGACCAAATTGGTACTTATCCTTGAATTGGTGTGTCCTTTGTAACGCTCAAAGTGAGGACTATTACCACTTATTGATTTTTTGTTCCTTTGCTGCAGCTTTATGGGATTGGATTTTTGGGCTGTTTGAGTGTAGGTGGAACCTGCCATCTGATATTAGCTTGTTGTTCAGTCCGTCTACTTTTGAATGGCACACAAAGAGAGGGAGAATTATGTGGAAGTGTATTAGAGCAGCAGTCTTGTGGACTGTTTGGGAAGAAAGAAAACCAGAATTTTTTTTCTGAAAAGGAAAGAAGCGTATCAGAAGTTAAGGATTGTGTTTTGACAAGGGCAATTCAGTTGTTGAAAACATTAAACCTGTTTGCTAGTTATTCCTTTGATGACCTGTGGAGGAGTTGGTTAGCAGTGGCTAGTACTTCTATCAGAAAAAAAGAAAAGACTTTTGGTACAATGGTTCCACCTGGGGAGGAGTTTGTTGAGCTGAATTTTGATGGGAGTAGCAGAGATAACCCTGGACCTTCGGGTATAGGAGGAGTTCTGAGAAATAGAGACAGTATTATCATATCCTTATACTCAGGACCTGTGGGTCTGGGAGACTCTATTGTGAATGAATTGCTCGCTGCTGTACAAGGTATCCAGCTTGCAAACCAGTTAGGGATAGAGCACTTGCTTATTGAAGGCGACTCTCAGGTGGTGGTGGGATGGTTTTTTGAATCTGGACTCTGTGATTTGGGGCTATAGAGATCTCCTTAAAAAAGTCAAATGGCTAACGAGAAATATGACAGTTAGAGTCCAGTGGGTAGGCAGATCAGCAAATTCGATGGCTGACTCACTTGCTAAACAGTGGGTTTCTCGGGACTCTTTATTTTGGGCTACCTTGTAATCATTTTAATCTGATTTTGTATTGCTGTAATCAATCTTAAAGGAAAGGTCGCATCTTGTGCCTCTCCTTGGGTCTCCTGTAACTCTTATTTTTGGGATTAATAAAATATTTACTCATTGATAAAAAATGGTATGACGTCTGTAATAAGCATTTTTCTATAATGATTATTGTCACCTTTATTGTCACTGTTTTTGGTTCTGTGTATGGGTGTACTTCTATATTATTTATCTAGATTGTGATCTTTTTTTCTGTATCTTACCAAAAATATATTCTGATATAGTTCATTTTCCTGGTGAGGTTTAAGCCTTAAGGACATTAGTGCTTCTGCATCTTCTTCTTCTTTTTCTTCTTGGTTAAACACCTTCGTTAAGTTATGTATACTATCATGTTGTTAGAATGAGGAATGCTAGTAAACAATGAGTATATGCAACTTCTTCATTTTGTTGCTTTGCATACAAGGTGGGACCTGTGAAAAGACATTTCCAACTTTATCTTGAAGAATGTCTTTTCATGAGTCGTACTTTGTCTATGTCACAAAGTTTTTAAGAATTGCATCAACTTGTTTACTAGAATGCTCTGTTGAAATTCTTCTTAAGCTGGATTCACTTTTATGTAGGGCCGAAACCATCTGAACTATATGGAAAGTTTACGTGGAAGATAGAGAACTTTTCACAGATTAGCAAGAGGGAGCTTCGGAGTAATGCATTTGAGGTTGGCGGCTATAAGTGGTATGAGATTTTATCTGGTTTATGTTGTGCTTATGCACTTTTTATTTATTATCTGCACTTTGTTTGCAGTACATATGTCACAAAAAGCAGTTTGTGCACGTATACACCTAACTGTTTGTACATGTGCATATGCTTGATGTACATTGAAGTCCTAAGAACACTAAGGGGCCTTTTTATAACAACTAAAATGGCTGAACTTAATGACTTGTTGCTTTATCTTTAAGTGGATAAATTATTAAGGAGGTTGTGAGCTCCTTAGTGGCTCAAGCTGAAATTGAGTTGATTTTTATACCCTTAAATGTTTTATTATTTAATTATTTTATCTACTAGAAGCCAAAGCAATAAGTCATCATTCAGGTCAGGCACTACATATGTTAGTTTAGTAACAAATGAACTAGGGGCTGAATGATGAAAAGGTTCCAATTTGAAAATTGAATTTTTGGCATTCAGTTACTCACCCTCTCCTCTCTAAATGCTAAAAGGAATTTAATTCCAGTGTAACTATCTTACCCTTAGAATTTTTATTGTAATGCAAAAAATGCCCTAGATTTAGGAGGATTTTCAATTTGGAAACTTTTCAGCATTCATCCCTGAGTTCACCATTCATCAAATGCTGCTCATGCATGCAAGTTTTGCTATACTTGTCAATTTTGATTAAGTTTTCTTTCTTTTTTTTTTCTTATTTCGTATTTGCTTTGCAGGTATATTTTAATTTACCCACAAGGATGTGATGTTTGCAACCATCTATCATTGTTTCTTTGTGTTGCTAATCATGACAAGCTTCTCCCAGGTTTAATCCATAATCATGATTTTCATCTTCTCTAGGTTATCAGTGTTTTTTGATTCTTACTATTCTGGAATCATGTGGTTCTTCTTTGGTTTGGAGCAGGGTGGAGTCATTTTGCACAGTTTACAATAGCTGTGGTAAATAAAGATCCAAAGAAATCTAAATATTCAGGTATGTGTTATACCCAATTTACAAAACCAGGTTAGTTTGTTTTGATGCTTGTAGGGCTGACAATTTGAAATTTTGCAGATACATTGCATCGCTTCTGGAAGAAAGAACATGACTGGGGGTGGAAAAAATTTATGGAATTATCGAAAGTGTTAGATGGGTTCATTGTTGCCGACACTCTTGTCATAAAGGCTCAGGTCCAAGTTATCAGGTTTTTGACTTATATATCCATGATTACACTATTAAAAATATTTTTTGTGGTGAAAATATATTTTATATTACACAAACAAAGAAACAAGAAAAAACACAAATGGAAAGGACCCAATAGTAAGACAAGCCCAGCACAACTGCCACTAAAATGAACAGGGATCTTCTGCAAACCCAAGTGTGTGAAGCTATCTGCGAACATGGATCTGCCTTGCACAAATGACTTTATCCTTAGTTTATATTTGTCCTATCTCATTGTTTACATTTTGTGGTACTTGTGCCCTTGAATTTTAACCAGAAAACCAACAAAAATTTTGACTCGTTAGGTTTATAGTGTTAGGGTGGATATTCTTAATGAGTCTAACCTTTGCATTGCTCATTTGCTGCTGGTTACATATAATCTGATATCTAAGTCTGTGTTGTTTTTGTTATGGTTTGTGATCTTAGACATGATCAGAATAGATCATGGAAGCCATCTCATAATTTTATAGGTTATTGTTTCTGTGGGCAAATGTTAAGAAGGCTTTCTTGTACTCATTTTGTGGATGATAGTTTATTGGGTAATAACTTTGTTGGTTCTTGATTTAGTGGGGAGAGGAACACCAGCTATCATTTTGGACTCTGAATTAGTTTGTCATGCGGAAGATAATTGTGTCATTTAAGGAGCTTCCCTAAACAACTTGATTATCAAATCTGCATGGAAACAGCTAGTTAAAGAATTTTGCATTGTCCCTTCGGTGATTGGAGAGCATATGGAGTTAATGATTGTTTTTTATCAATAAATGGAGTTTAAAGAATTGGCAGGGCTTGTTGGATCCTTGGCCACTTCATTTATGTTATAAGGGGTATCTAGCCTCTCTTTTGGTCCAAATTAAGCAGGTTCCTAAGTGTTTTGAAAGGTGCATAGGATCACTGGTAAGACTTAGTTTATAGGGTGCACCTTACATGAAATCTGGGTTGTTGTTATGCTTTGAGTTAACCTACAGCACCAGTAAGAAAAAATGATCTTTTACAAGTTGAAGGGGCTAGAAAAGCCAGGGCAGGCCAAAAAGGACGGGTTGATATAGTGGGAAATAATTTAAGGGTTCACAATTTAACAATGGATATGGTACTGAACTGGATGTAATGGTGGTACCGGATTTGTGTAGCCGATTCATATAGTTGGGACATGACTTAGATGATGATGATGATGCAACATTGAGGTGAATTCTATGTTATAGGTTCTAGCTATGATGAATAAACTTCTACATAGTTTATTAACTTTATTCTATATTTGACCTGAACCTACAATGATAATAACTGTGTTAATAATATGGCATTCTTTAACCATTTCAGCTAAGCTAACATGAGTTTGTTTTCTTTCAGAATTATGGTTTGCATGTTACATGTTAAGTTTTCTTTTTTTCTTTTCATAAATACACCTTGTCTTGCACCTCCAGCCTCAGTCTCTAGATCCTTCACTTTTCACTTTTAAAAATTGGGTCTCTTGAGAGATGAACTGCTTTGTGGATGGGCCTGCTAATTCAGGTGTGTGAAGGGCTTGCTAACTCATTGCAACAAGGGCTCCGTTGTTTCTTGCCTCATACATTTTTTGGTTCTTATTGTTAAAACAGTGCCTTTTCTGTAGTGCTTATTATTTGTACTAAATGTGTGTGTATATATACTTGTTGATACCTATCAAGTGAAAAAAAAACTCAATGAACTGTGCTGGGCTGTCATTTACATACATTTTGTGCATCAAATGGACACACCTTTTAAATGTATCAATACAATAAAATCTTGTTAAAGTGTAAAGATTTGTTAGCTCGTAAAATTCATGAATGTTTTGTTAAAACCAATCTGTTTTATGTATCTTTCTGCTTCATTTGTGGAGTTAAAATTAATAATTTTGATAACCAATTTTGTTTATGTTTATTTATGCATTTTTCTTTATTGAAGGGAGAAAGCACACCGTCCTTTTCGTTGCCTTGATTGTCTTTATAGGAGAGAACTGGTTCGTGTATATCTAACAAATGTAGAACAAATTTGTCGGCGCTTTGTTGAAGAGAGGAGAGGTAAGCTTGCGAAGCTGATTGAGGACAAAGTGAAGTGGTCAAGGTAGAATATGTTTCCCTTTGATCTCTTATTAAGTTCTAAAGAACACTGTCTTATAGCCATTAACAGAAAGATGTCAGATCCCTTGGGAATGGTATCTACTTGCTGTTGATTTCAGCACACACACAAAAAAAAAAAGAAAAAAACATCCAAGACTCTGCTACATAGAGCTGCTTGTTGCAATATACACTATTTAATAGAACTTTCTCTGTGTTATGTTTGGTTACCAGTAGTGTTCTTATGCAACTCAATTGTATTTATTTGGGTCAATATTTTTCTTTAACAAAGAATTACTGCTTGGATTTTTGCAGCTTCTGTGCTTTTTGGTTAGGAGTTGATCAAAATGCTAGGCATCGCATGTCGCGGGAGAAAACTGATGTGATCTTGAAAGTTGTTGTAAAGCAGTTTTTTATAGAGAAGGAAGTCACATCTACATTGGTAATGGATTCACTCTATAGTGGTTTGAAGGCTCTTGAATACCAGAGTAAGAACAAAAAAGGGAGAGCAAATCTATTGGATACCGAGGAACCACCAGCTCCTATTGTTTGTGTTGAGAAAGATATGTTTGTATTAGCGGATGATGTGTTGCTGCTACTAGAGAGGGCTGCCATGGAGCCTCTGCCTCCAAAGGATGAGAAGGGTCCTCAGAACCGTACAAAAGTAAGCTGTATAATTATGTACTAGGGATCTTGCAGATACTTCTTATATGACTCGTTTGATGTGGTATTCTAGTATTTTTTTTTTGGTTCCACTTTATTGTTTCTGAAGCTGGTTATCTATGCAATGGTTGAACCTTCTGCATCCTTACCTTCTCCTCTGCCTCTTAGTTTGCAAGTTTGTATCATAAATAACTTTAAATTGGATACTCTGTGAGGTTTAACTCTATAAGTTTGCTGTTTTAAAAATGTGGCATGTGGGCATTGAAATTTATGTTGTATGCTTCCTCATTGATAGTGGTGCAACTGCAAGGTTTTTAACCAGCTGGTTGGTAAGGTCTCCTGCTGGTCGTAGCAGAGACTTGGGACTGAATCCCGATAAAAAAAAGATAGTGGTGCAAGGTTCCATACATGCATACATATACACATTCACTGAATGCATTAACACACACACAGATCAGGCTTTAACCTCACTCTTGGACCTTATGCTCAAAACTTAGGGTTGACCTTAAAACCTGTTGCAGCTTGCACGAGTTGCACTCCTACCCATTGATATTGGAACTATGAAGATTACCTTACAATCTCTTAAGAAAAGTGATTCTTTGTAAATTTGATAGATCAATTCCACTTGTACTTTGATGGCAGTAGTAGAGGGAACCCTGGACAGTCGGATTGGAGGTGTTTTCAGGGATGAGAATGGGGTCATTTCTGCATTATACTCGGGTCCAATTGGAGTGAGGGACTCCCTTAGAGCTGAGATTTATGCAGTTATGGAAGGGATACAGAAAGCTAAGGAGATGAATATCAGAAAAATCATAATTGAAGGGGATTCGGTGGTGGTAATAGGGTGGCTGAATAAAGATAACAGTAGCCTATGGAATTACAGTAATGAGAGGAAAAGGTTTAAGTGGCTGGTGAGGGAGATGGAAGTGAAGATGAAGTGGGTTCAAAGATCGGCTAATTCCTTGGCTGATGGATTAGCTAAACAAGGGGTAGAAAGGGACTCAATGTTTGGGGCCAATTTGTAAACTACTGTTTCCATTTCCTCTTCTTTTCTTAAGTTCTCTAGCTGTATGTGGAAGACAAGAGTGCTTGTCTTTTTCTTTGTAATCATCTTTATCCTGAATTAATGAAATTGCTAATGAATGCGTTATTGATCAAAAAAAAAAATTCACTTGTACTTTGTACTAAGTGAGATCTCTGATGTAGTCTATTTTACAAATTTTGAGTAGCCACTTTTGGTAAATTATTAAAAGTAGTTACTTTTTGTGAGTACAAAACTATCAACACATATAATGTTTAGTTACAGTCTTACAGCAATGCAATAACCATTCTTTTGCATTGTACATCATTAGGAAAAGTGAAAATATGGTCCGTATAAGTGAACAGTAGTTATTTAATTAGGAGAAAATGTCCAGTGTATGGTTACTAATTTGTTTTGAAGAATCAGAATAAAAGATTTCATTAAAATAAGAAGAGTCATACAACCCGGAGGTGTTAAGATAGCACCCAGCCGCATCCTAGCACACATTTCGATTTCTCACACCAGAAAAATCAAGGAATACAGAGCTGATCAATGTTAGTAGATGTTAGTAGGACATAGGAGCTATAACATACATTTCCGATGTTAAATGGCACTTCTAAACAAGGATTGCAAATGTCTTTTTTTTGATAAGTAAAAATTCATTAATATTTCATTATATCAGTAAAGATAAGCAACTGCTACAAGCTTCCCCGATGGAGGCACGAGATGCAGCCTCACTCATAAAGAAAATACAGCACAAGAATTACAATTGAGCCCAAAACAATTGATCCCTAGTTACCCCTTGCTTAGCTAATGAATCGGCCATGGCATTAGCCTCCCTCCCCATCCATTGATTAATCAAGCTCATCTGCTGTGTTAATCATTTGAATTTCTTCATTTCGTCTCGATAGCACCATTATCACTGAATCTGGGTCTTTTAGCCAGCCCACCACCACCTTGGAATCCCCTTCAATCACCGGTTTTTCCAAATTCATTTCTTTTGCAATCTGAACACCTTGTAAGACTGCAAACAGTTCAGCCCTTGTAGAGTCTCCATTCCCCACCGGTCCTGAAAAAAGTGATACCAGATTCCCTTCCCTATCTCTTATGACTCCTCCAATTCTATAAAAGGACCTGGATTGCCTTTGCTACTTCCATCAAAATTAAATTTCAAAAAACCTTCACTAGGAGGTGCCCATATCAACCTTGTTTTAGCCTTCTGTATTGAACTAGAAGCCACTGATGATCAGTTCCTCCAAATACTATCAAAGGAGAATTGTCTAAAGAGATCCAAAGTTAGTAGCCAATGTATAACTCTAGTCAATACATAGTCCATAATTTCTTGTTTGCTTCTCTGCTTCTTTTGGAAGATCGTAGCGTTTATTTCCTCCCATAAGGTCCAAATCACTGCTACTCTTGTGCATCTCCACATTATTCTTCCCTTCTCTTTGGCCACACAAAGGTAGATGGATCAAATAGCATCTTAACCTCCACTGGCATGTTCCACCTACACCCAAACAAAGAGAAAAACCAGTCCCAAATATCTGCAACAAAGGGACAAGAGATTAGTAAGTGGTAATAAGATTCGCCATCCGATTTACATAGAGTGCACCAGCTCGTGGAAATACACAAAAGGCCTCTTCTTTTGTAGGTAGTCCAGAATGTTAACTTTTCCATAAGCCTTAATTTTTGGAGGAATTGGTTGACATCAAACTTCCTTAGTAAGTGGAAAATTCTCCCATGAATATTGTTCACCACCTCATGCCACAAGCTATCACTCTCTAAAGGCCATCTCCATAACCACTTCCCTAATAGAGCCATGTTCTTCTTTCTCACATTCTCAATTCCAAAACCACCCTCTTTCTTGCTTTTACACACAAAGAAAACCGTTCATGATTTTTTCTATTTTTTTTCGCTTCCCTTGGTGGAATCCTAATCACAGAGAGGAAGTAGATTGGTCGGTTAGCCAATATTGATCTTATTAGGGTGATCCTACCTCCCAGTGAAATATAGTTCCTCTTCCAAGCCACCAATCTCTTTCTACATCTTTCTACAATTGGGTTCCAGAATCTACTTTCCTTAAGGTTGGAGCCTAAAGGAAGACCTAAATATGTCAATGGCCAAGGATGATAGGACACTCTAAGCAACCCGCTACAAAATTTAAGTCATTGTCCTCCAAGTTAGAAGATTGCAAATGTCTTTACAATTACTTCTATTGGTATTCTTGATTTGATCTTCGTCACAGTCCTAGTCTGTAGATATGTTTGTTACTTCCCCTGCCATGAATACAGGGTTCTGTGTCCATTGGGTGGAGTGGCAGGAAGCTGCAATATTTCCTTTTTAAGGAATTTTCAGTTAATGGCTTTGATATGCAGGAAGGGAATTCTGGAGAAGACTCCAACAAGGATACAACTGAGCGCGATGAGAGACGGCTTACTGAACTTGGTCGTAGGACTGTGGAAATTTTTGTCCTGGCACATATTTATAGGTAATCTACCTTCTGTTTTTTTTGACCTATTAATGCTGTACTTTTAAAAGCAGAGATGTTATTGGCATAATACTGTTATTATGTAATTCTTTTACTTCTTTGGAGCTATAAGTTCATCTCATACATGAATTTTTTGATCTGTAAAGCTATAATGAAATTTTAAAACTGGGATGTTTGATATTATCCTTATCCATAATGGCCATATTCAAACAGAATGGCAAATATTTGGAATGGTAGGCTAAGCTATGAAAATCTTCCCATCTAAAAGGGAAGTTTTCAGTGAATGGTACACTTATCTGTGAGTCCACTCCCTTTTTCTTGAGAAAGGTAATGGAAATATATTATTCAAAATAAAAATATAGCAAAAGGAATTCTTTTCTATGTACACCAAGATGCTATGCATGGTTTAACTACAAAAAAAATAGTATTAGCTGAGAACAAAAGGGATTCAAACTCACAAAATGAAGCATAAATTGCTTCCCTGTAACTCTTGTGAATACACAGCCAAGGGGAGGTCATTCCAATCATCGTTGATACCTCTGGACTTATTAATTGATCAGCCTCTGCCCATGAATATTATACTTTTTATATCCTGCCTTATGGCCCACCTTATTGCCAAGGGAAAATGCCTCCATGAGACCAATCTCTTTCAAATTAGAGATTTCAATTTTAAGCATGTAAAATGAAAGAATTTGGGGAATGTTAAAGAGGCTGTTGGATGTACTTGAGGAAAACAACATACAGAAGGAGATGGCAGATGGGATAAGTAAGGAAATGATAATAAGGGTGTAGGAGGGTGTGAGGGAACAAGTTAGGAAGGAGGTACCAACAAGTTAAGTGAAAGGGAGGTGAATAATGAGGATTCTGTGGCAGCCTTTGTGGGGAAACTTGGGTGTAACTTGAAAGACCTGAATGATCTCAAAATTTTCTTTCAAAAGGAGGAAGTTAAGGTGAGGAGGAGGAAACTGAGTGAGGCTAAAAGACTGATGAGGGATATTGGAGGAGACACAAATCTTGGTGTCAAAGGGGAAAGAAGGAAAGGGATTAAGTAATGGCTAACTGGTGTTAGGGGCAAACAAAGAACAAAATGAGAGTGATCAGTTGGAATGTAGAGGGTTGGGAAGTTCTAGAAAGAGAGCAGTAATTAAATAGGCAATTAAAAAGTTAATTCCAGATGTAGTTATGCTGCAAGAGTCTAAGAGAGCAGATTTTGATGTTAGGTGGGGTAGGAGCATTTGGAGAACCAGAGGGGGTCAGTTGGGCTACTGCACCTTCTTGGGGGTCTGCAGGGGGTATAGTGACATTATGGAAGAATGAGGTACTAATAGGATTGGAGGAGTTGATAGGCCAATTTTCAGTGTCTTTGAAGTTTAGGCAAGTGGAGGATGGATTTGAGTGGGTATTAATAAATGTTTATGGGCCTAATGATTATAGAGAGAGGAGGAAACTATGGGAAGAATTGGGGATATCAGGAGATTGTGGGAAGGACCTTGGTGTCTAGGAGGTGATTTTAATGTAATCAGGTTCTCGAAAGAAACAATACTCCTAGACAGAGGATGACTACAAGCATGAGGAAATTTAATCAATTTGTGGATGTTTTTGAACTCAAAGAGATTCCTCTGTCGCGTAGTAACTATACATGGTCCAACCTACAAGTGAATCCCATCTGTTCTAAGCTGGATAGATTTCTTTTTTTCAACTGATTGGAAAGATCATTGGGGGAGTTTGACCTCTAGAGCACTTCCAAGTGTAACTCCGGACCATTGGCCTATTGTGATTGGTGAGGAAGAATTGGGAAATACAGGGCCTATCTCGTTTAGATTTGAAAATATGTGGCTACACCACCCGGGTTTTATTAATAAAGTCAAGGAATGGTGGCTAGAGAGTGATCCTATAGTAGAATGGAATGGGATGAGGCTCCATAGAAGCTACTATTTTTGAAAGATAAATTTAAGGATTAGATTCTTTTAGAATTTGGGAGGTTGGAAGTAAGGAAGCAATCTGTGATTGCATAACTGGAAGATCTGGATGTGAAGGAGGGGAGGGGTTGTCTTACACAAGAGGACAAGGGAGTAAGGGACAAAGGTAGAGATTGCGAAAACAATTGGAGGATGACTTGTTCAAGGAGGAAATTAGCTGGAAACAAAAATCAAGGTGTAAATGGTTGAAAGAGGGGGATAGGAATACTAAATTCTTTCATGCTGTAGCAAGTGGGAGAAGAAGAAAAAATTTTGTTTCAAGTTTGGAAGTGGAGGGGATAACTTTATCTAATTAGGGTGAGATTGCTGGGACTTTGCAAATCATTTCAAATCTATCTTTAGAAGACCTTTAAGTAATAGGGTGTGGATTGGGGGGATGGAATGGCCAAATCTATGTCTAAAAGATAGGGAGTGGTTGGAGAGAAAATTTGATGTCGAGGAAGTAAAGGAGGCGGTATTTTCTATGGATAGGTCAAAGGCACCAGGCCCAGATGGTTTTACGATGGCATTTTATCAAGATTGTTGGGAGATATTGAAATAGGATTTAATGTTGGTTTTTGTTGAGTTCCATAGAAGAGGAGTGATTAACCTGAGGTTGAATTCAACCTTCATTGCTTTGGTTCCCAAGAAGAGAGAAGCAACCCCCCAAGTAGGGATGTCAACGGGTTGGATTTGGCATGGGTTTTCCTCAACCCTCCAACACCCCAACCCGAACTCGACCCTATAGGGTTTAACTCGACTTCACTCATATAATTTGAAATGTATTTTTAACACATTTTGAAGACCTAAAATACATTAATTTACATAAGGAAATTGTTTTATAGATTCGAAGGTGTTATTTTTTTCATTTAAAAAAGAAGAAAATCAAAATCAACATATAAATACTTGGTATATATGCGGGTATCATGACCTAGCGGGGTGGGTTAGTCAAAACCTGAACCCGACTTGGGTCAAAGAATAAAATGCCTAACCCGACCTAAACCAAATATAGTTGACCCTAACCCGACCCTATAGGTTTTGGTCAAGCCGGGTTTACCATTTTACCCGACCCATTGACATCCCTAAACCCAAGGGACTATAGACCAATCAGTCTAGTAAATAGTCTGTATAAGATTATTGCGAAGGTGTTGTCCCTTAGGATTAGACAGGTGCTCTATACCATTGTAGCAAATAACCAAGGAGCTTTTGTGAGGGGAAGGCAGATAATTATTGATCAAATACTTATATCAAATCAGAGTGTGGAGAATTTCAAGAAATCAAGGAAAAAGGGTGTAGTTTGCAAGTTTGATTTGGAAAAAAGCTTATTATTTAGTAGATTGGTTCTTTTTGCTGGAGGTGATTATCAACTTTGGGTTTCGAGAAGGATGGTGCAGGTGGGTGTTGGGGTGTATTAGGACTTGCCACTACTCTATTTTGGTAAATGGAACGGTGGTGGGCTTTTTTCTGGCATTGAGAGGAATAAGACAAGGAGACCCCCTTTCTCATTTCTTGTTCACCTTGGTTGCTGAAGTCTGAGGGAGACTGATCTCTAGAGTAGATTCCAGGAGTCTAATCAAAGGGTGGAGAGTTGGTAGGGRGAACACACCACTCACACATTTGCAGTTTGCAAATGATACGATTCTCTTCTGCGAGGGAGGGGACTTGAATTGGATTAGGAATTTGAAACTCTCAATACAACTTTTTGAGCAAATGTCAAATCTGAAAGTGAACTTTGAAAAGTTGTGTTGGTGTAAATGTGGGGAAAGTGATATCCTTGCATGTGCAAACATTTTGGAATGTGTAGTGTCAACTTGACCTTTGAATTATCTTGGTCTTCCTCTAGGAGATAATCTTCAAAAAGGAAGTTTTTGGATTCCAGTTGTGGAGAGGTTTGAAAAGAGACTTGCATCTTGGAAGAAAAATTATCTATCTCTTGGAGGAAGAATCACCCTAATTAGGTCTACATTAGCTAACCTGCCCGTTTATTACCTATTGGTCTTTAAGGTGCCTGCAGAGGTGGCTAGCAAGTTGGAAAAGCTAATGAGAGATTTCCTTTGGGAGCCAGGGGAGGAGAAAAATGACCACATGGTTATAGGTGGGAGGTGGTGTGTAGGAGCAAGCAGGATGGAGGTATAGGCATTGGGAATGTAAGGAAGAGAAACTTGACTCTACTAGGGAAATGGTTGTGGAGATTTTCATTGGAAAAGGAAAAATTGTGGGCCAAGATAATAAGTAGTATTCATGGGCTTGTGGAGAATGGACGGGACTCTGGGATTCTGGCTAGGACTACAAGAGCATCACCTTGGAAATCAATCCAAACTATTCTGCCTTTATTTTCTCCTTTGATCAAGTATGACTTGCACTCGGGTAATCTCATTAAGTTTTGGGAACGTGTTTGGGTTGGGGATTCTCCTTTGAAAGACCAATTTTCGGCCCTCTTTGCTATCTCTACCTTCAAAAATGAACCAGTTGCCACTTTCCTTGTGCCCTTGAACTAAACTTCTAGGTTTGGATGGAACTTGGGTTTGAGAAGAGCTCTCAGGGACACGTAATTGGATAGTACCTTTACTCTCATGTCCATTCCTGATGGGGTTTTCTTGGAGCCTACAAATACAAATAGTAGGATCTGGACTTTGTCTCCTTCAGGCTCCTTTACTTGTGCCTCCTCCTTTAAAGCCCTAATACAACCGACATTTCCTATTTGTCTTGTTATTCCCCTCCAAAGAAGTGTGGTGTCAACCTATACCTTCGAAGGTTGGGGGTTTCTGTTGGGAAGCTTTCTTGGAAAGAGTCAACACAGGTGATTTGATTCAAAGAAAAAGACCCAATAGTTGTTTATCTCCTCACTGGTGTGTTCTTTGCAAAGTTGCTGGTGAGTCTGGTTACCACTTATCAATATCCTGTGATTTGGCAAAAAATATTTGGGAATGGTTTGCTTCTTTGTTTGGGTGCAGGTGGCTTTCCCCAGTGAATGTGCAAAAGCTTGCTTAATTCCTCTTCTTTCAACTGCCAAACAAAAAGGGCAAGGATCATGTGGAGATGTGTGAGAGCTGCTGTTTGCTGGACTGTATGGGAAGAAAGAAACTCGAGGATTTTTTCAGAAAAGGAGAGAAGGTTGGAAACTATGCTAGAAGTGATCCATATAAGGGTAATACATTGGTTGGAAACAATGGACTTGTTCACAAATTATTCTACAGATGATATGTTAAGAAAATGGAAAGAAATTGCAAGTTCAGCCTCAGTTAAGAAGACCTTGAATCCCACCTGGAACCCTCCACCTCTTGGTTTTATCAACCTAAATTTTGATGGCAGCAGCATAGGGAATCCAGGGCCTTCGGGTATTGGGGGGGGGTGCTATGAGATGAGAAAGGGAATGTAATAGCTATGTTCTCTGGCCCAATTGTAGTGGGAGACTCTTTAAGGGCTGAGGTGTTAGCAGCTTTGGAAGGTGTACAAAGGGCTAAAGACCTGAATGCCAAGAAACTGATTATAGAAGGAAATTCTGAGGTTGTACTTGGGTAAAGAGAAAATTCAAATGGCTGATCAAGAACATGGAAGTTCAGTGTACTTGGGTAAAGAGAGTTGCAAACTCCTTTGCTGATGGATTAGCTAGGCAAGGGGTGAATTGGGATTCTGGTTTCTGGGCTCAGTTGTAAATGTTCTTTTCCTTTTGGGTGCCTGCCCACTTTCTTGGGGAGTTAAGATACTTTAGCTCCTCTACTTTGTAAGCTTATTCCTATTTATTGAAATCTGTTGTTATTGATAAAAAAAAGGTCCTTAATGGAGGTTGGAAATCACTGGAGCAGAACAAAAATGTTTAGATTCAGTGATTAAGAACAAAAATAAATTAAAGGAACTAATTCCCTGACAAGAAACATAGTACATTATTTTTAGATTTTGAAGCACTACTTTTCCTTRACTGATAAAAAAAGTATTGTGTTTCCTTTTGCAAACCATGGTCTAGGTCATAAAGATGTTGATGTTTTGTTCTCATTGTTTTTTTCCCTTTTTGAGCAAAGGCAAGTAAATATGCTACTATTCTCATTACTCATCTGCTGCATAATTTAACCTATTTATCTTTACGAATTTCAATCAGATTGGAAGGATAGTTTTGTAGGGCTGCTAATGTTGTATTGACCATAGTATAAGGCATTTAAAAATCATCTTGTATATGGGATAAGTGTCATGAAGATGGGGATGTTGAGATGGATGGGTGGCAAGATAGGAAAGCATAGAATTAAAAACAAGTATACTTTTGAGAATCTTGGAATAACTCAAATAAGTGAAAAATGAAAAAAAAAAGTAAATTGAGATGGTTTGGAGATGTACACAAGAACACTTGTTACCCGAGTAAAAAGAAGTCATCTGATACAATTTTTTTAGATAAATAGAAATGAAAATTCATTAAATGTGAAGAAGGTACAATGTAGCAGGTGACAAGGCATCACCTACAACTCAGCTAACAGGAAATGAAATGCAAAGAAGAACAAATGAACAGACAGAAACATATATTCTTGCATCATTTAACAAAGACAAAAAAATCCAGAAATCAGAACCAAAATCTTTTCTTTGAGTCTCTGAATTCTGGTAGAATCAACATCCGTTCCACCAGTCTTGATCAAATAACAGCACAAAGCCGCTTCTTTCTTGCCTGTTTGGAAAGGATCTTCTATTTCTCCCTTTCCACTCCTCCCAGCAGATTGCGAATGGAACTCAATTCCATGTAGTTTCAGCTTTCTTCCTCCCATTGATTCCTGGACACTTTTCAAAGATATCCTTGGGCAGCTGAGGATCCCATACACTCATGTTGAAGTGGCAAAAGTAGAATAAACCATATGCAGCTCACATAAACACAGCTGATCATCAAATGCATCACATCTTCTGAATCCATTTCGCAGAGGGACACACCTGTTAGCCAAGAAGAAACCTCTTTTCTTCAAATGAGATCTTGAGTAGGGATTCTGTTCATTGCCAGCAGAAGCTTGGGTTTCTCCACACACCTCCAGTGTGATGACTTTCCACTTGATTCCTGACCAGGGCTTTGTAGAAAGATTAACGGGAAATYTGCCGTTCTTTCTCTCTTTCCACCATCTCTCATACATGTTTATGGTGCTGGAAGAGTTTAGTGAAGATACAGATTGATCTGGGTTGAGATATTGACAAAGGATTTTAGGATTCACAATTATTTGCAGATATTGCTTCTGATAAGCAATGGTGAAACATGATTTGTGTAGCCAACCAACCGATCCAATTGGCCGGTCCAGGCATTCAAAGCTTTATGTTTTTCTCTGGAAGCCTGAATTTTTTTGAGCTTTTGGGCGTTGGAAGATCTCTTTTAGAAAGCCCAACCAATAACAGTATTAGTAATTTCTTCCCTTCGATTATCTCTTTTGATTTCTGTTCTTTAATTGGTTTTCTTGATAAAAAATCTTCTGTTCCTTTGGACATGCTACTGTCCTTTAACAGGATCTCCTACACTGTTTTGTATAGTATAAAGCAAAATGCTCCTTGGTGGCAAATTTTCTATAGGAAGTTGAATGAGACGGGGCAGGGATATTTGTCTTTATCCTGTTGTTAATGTAAAGTTGAATCAAAAGGAGCAACCAACAATGGATCAATTACTCCATCTGGGATTTATCTTTTGTTGGTTTGAATCTGTCTCTGGGCTTTATATCAATATGGCCAAGAGTGAAATCATGTTGGTGGGAGATTCAGCAAAGGTTGATCTTCTAACAGATATTTGGGCTGTAACATTGGTAAGATGCACACAACATATCTTAGCTTGCCATTCTAGAGAGAATTGATTGCAGATTATCATCTTGGAAATCCAAATACCTTTCCAAGGGATCTAAGCTATACTGTGCAGGAGTGTTTTATCTGCCCTTTCAGTTTATTTTCTATCTATCCTTCACATACCTGGTAATGTTGCCAGAAAACTGGAATACAAAATGAGGGATTTCCTATGAGCTGGTTGGAAGGAGGAGTTAAGTTTCATGTGGTGAACTAGAAATCAGTCTGTAAACCAAAAAGAAGGGGTGGCTTGGGAATCAGATGTTTTAAAAACTTTAAATGCAGGTCTCTTGGCAAAATGGTTATGAAGATTCAACTCAGAGCTGAACAGCCTGTGGAGGCAGGTTATCATTGCAAATATGACACTGGATACATGCAAGGTTTAAAACATCGGTTTTGGTGGAAATGTCAGTCGTCCAAAATCCAAATATAAGAAAATGTTGGAAATATCGTATTGAAATATTGTAAAAATTATAGACACGGTGGACACATTTTAAAATGTGCAAAATATAGAATGATATTTACTGAAAAAAATATAGAATGATATTTTATGAAATGTTAAAAGAAGCATAGGCACACTTTTTAAATTATTATCTTGTTCCAAATTACTGAACAAAGCTAAGAAACTAAGGTTATAGACAAAAAATACATTTTGAAGTTGCCCTATAAACCTTAAGATTTAGAGCTTCATGATAGAATGAATGAATGCAAAATTTAAACTCATGGAAAATGTAAATGGGTGTAATAGATCAACCAAGTAATCTATTACACAAACAGAAGCTAATATTTAACTTCATGTTTGAAATGAATATTGATCTAGCTTGAAGTGGTTATCATGCAAGCTAGGTGGTCTATAACGTTATTACAACACATATGTACAATATTGTCGCCAACTTATGTTATAATACTATCTCTTGTACTCCACAAAGTGCTGGTAGTGTTTACTGGGGAATATATCGATTCTAATAAAATTTCATGTCGCTACCCATGGAAGTGGAAATGGGAATATGTTGTGCAGATAATCTCTTGTACTCCACATAGTGTTGATAGTGTTCATTGGGGAACATGTCGATTCCAGTAAAATTTCGTGTTGCTACCCATGGAAATGGAAATATGTTGTGGAAATGTTAGGGAAATTAGGGACATTTTAAACCATGGATACATGGGATGGGACCTCTTTACCTTGTAGCTTTGCTCGATGGAAAAGTATTGTGAAGGTGTCAGATTGTTCTTAAAAGTTATCAAAACGTTGGTAAAGGTGACAGAACTAAATTCTGGATAGACATGTGGTGTGATTACACCTCTGAAAGACTCTTCCCCAGATCTCTATTCAGCTGCTCAAAACCAAAACAGGGAAGATTTGAAAGTTGGGAATTGGCTGTACTTATCGAAGCACTTCTTACTATCTCTACATCTTTAATTTTTCATTGATAATTTATGACCAGTTGAAAGAAAGAAATTCCCTGGCCAAAATCATGATTTCCCTTCTATACTACTATTTTTTTTTTTGGTTTGCTTTGCAGAAGTATGCACCAACTTTAAAACCAACCCTTAAGTCTCCAGATTAATAGCCTTTTTAATATGTTTAAACCCTCTTCTGTGCTTTGCATGTTATTTTCTTGTTAAAGAGGGGGCCTGGTAACCCATTCTACATTTTGGACTTTTCATTTTGAATTATATGATCCATGTATTATTTCAGTCTTATATTTGATTTATGATAAAATGGCAGCCCAGTGCATGAGGGTGCTGTCAATGCTGGATCTGGGGAGGGACAGACTGATCATAATTTAATATATTTGTACCTTATTTTCCCTGTATATTTCTTACTTTAACCAAGTTTGATGTTTCCAATTACAGTAATATAATTGAAGTTGCATACCAGGAGGCTGTTGCTTTGAAGAGGCAAGAGGAACTCATACGTGAAGAAGAGGCAGCAGGGCTGGCTGAAAGTGAGCAAAGAGCTAAACGAGGAGCATCTGAAAAGGAAAAAAGATCAAAGAAAAAACAGGTTTGATAATTTTTTATGTAGTTTTTGATCATAAAAGATACATAGGCCCTGTTTGGCGTGCCTTTCGTGCAGTCTTTCGGCTGTTTACAAGCTGGGAAGACTGTGCTGCAGTCTTTTTCCTTTTGGTTCATAACAGATCTAGCCGCCAAAAGTCGATGCGCCGAAAAGGCATGAGAAGCCCATTTTGGGAAGCTCCAAATGGAGCTTTTCGCGTCTTTCTCACTTTATTCTCGCGTGAAAAAACACGGAAAGACGCATGGTAGCCAAACTAGTTTCGGGCTGCTCAGATCTTCATGCAAAAGTTCAATGCGTCTTTTGACTGTCAGAGCTACCAGAAGATCTTCCCAAAAAGACTTGCCAAACGGCCCCATAGTTAGGTCTTCTAGTCTATTTTTGTCTTCTCTGTTACCAGACAAGGGTTAATCTGAGTGCTTGAACTAAATGTCTAGGTCTAATAGAACTATGACTGTCTTTCAAGTAGTTCATGTTTGTTCAGTCATGGGTTTTTGGAACCATTAAGTACCTTGAAATTCTTATTAAAATCTTTTGGGTTGACAGATAATCTGCCTGACTCTGGCTTTACATAGGGGCATAATTCGTTATGTCATATATATGAGCTGGGATAACCTGTGGTTTCTTAATTCCTACTGTGCCGAGGTTGGTAAATGATTGGGGCATGCATCAGTTAGTAAATATGTGGATTATTAGAAGGTTTGTATGCATGTCCATGCATAGGTCCTTGTGCTGTTTTTACCTTTCTTGCTTTTAATAAAATACTGTATCCTGGAGGGGATGCTTTGTATGGACCTTAAGGTAAAAAATGTTGGTATTATGGCTTGATTCACCACCTAATTACAAAGCTGTAGTTTTTAAGGCGAAGATATTGAATGAGTTAGGAAAAAATCTAGAGGGCACAGTCTATTCATGGATATCCATACTCAGGGTTTTAGGGATGTGCCATCCACACCTTCTCTTTCAAATCCTTCTACATGCCGTTGTGTTTTTTGTAATGATGGGATTCACATATATAGTAGCATACTTGTATACACCTACATACATGGTACTAGAGACGTTGCAAGACAATTGATAGAAAAGTTTATAGAGAAGAAGAGAAATTTTCATATGGTTTTTCATTAATCTAGAGAAAGCATATGATAGAGTTCCTACAGAGGTAATATAGTGTGTTTTGGAAAAGAAAGGAGTCCCGAATAGGTATGTTGGCCTAATTAAGGATATGTATGATGGTGCAAAAACCACTATTGGAATACCTGTGGAAAAGATAAGAATTTATAGTTGCAATGGATCTTCACCATGGTTCAACTCTTAGTTCTTATTTATTTGCTCCAGTCATGGATGAATTGACTAACCATATTCAGGAGGAGGTTTGATGGTGCCTGATGTTTGTGATGAGATAGTATTAATTGATGGAACTAACAAAGGATTAAATGCAAAATAAGGTTTGTGGACAATTGTATAAAAAACAAGAGATTTTAACATAGGTAGTATTAGCAGAATATATGCAATGTAAATTTGACAATAATAGGAGTGTAAACTAGGGTTCACTTTGGGAGATCAATAGATAACACAATGTGAATCTTCTGTTGTGTTGGTTCAATAATTAATAACAGAGGAGAGATCAAGGAGGATGTTGCCCATAGAATTGGAGCAGGATGGACAAAATTAAAGGGGCATCAGAGTCTTATGTTATAGGAGAATACCACCTAGGCTAAAAAGAAAATTCTATAAAAACAGTTATACAAGTCTAGCCATGTTGTATGGTGCAGTGTTGTGCGGTTAAGAAACAGTATGTCCAAAAAATGAGTGTAGCAGAAGTGTGAATGCTTAAATGGATGAATAGTAAAACTAGAAAGGACAAGGTTAGGAATGAAGTCATATGAAGGAACTTAGGAGTAGCTCCAATAGGTGATAAAATGAGAGAAAACTGATTGAGATGGGGCTAGAAGAGCTAGGGGCAGACTGAAAAGGATTTCGGTGGAAGTAATAAGAAATGATTTAAACACCCATAATTTAACAATGTGTGTGACACTGAACAAAATGGAATGGCAAAACAGGACTCATGTAACTGATCCTTATAGTTGGGATATAAGGCTATGATGATGATGATATATTTATTTATTTATTTAAAGTTGTAATTCCCTTAGATATCCACCTTTTCAGTTGTGGAGTAGAAGCCTAATCCCTTAAGTGATGCCCTTAAACAATTACAGTTTTTTTGTTATAGCATATTCCCATCTTTGAGTGTAGTGTCAGAAATTTGGTTTTTTCAATATGCTATCTATGCATACTTGATATTGTGTGCTTGTATTTATTTTTCAATTATTTACATCTGGTCCTGCTGATAATTTTGTTTATTTGTCGTCTATTATTTATGGTTATTTGTTTCATATCCAAATGCCCTTTCATGTTTTCTGTTTCTCCTTTCTATTATGTTGTTGTGTTTTGTGTTGAATGCTCCCCCAGTCACCTCAACAGAGAGAGGAAATATACAGTTGAAGCCCAAATGAGGAGAAAAGGCTGGGGGTGGGGGTGGGGGGTTGACAAAAGCAAGCATTTCCTGCAAAAGCATGCACAACATAAAAAAAAGATTGATATATGCACAACATGCATAAGAAGACACTGTAGCCTCTCATTATAGTTTAACTTAATGCCTTGTTGAAATTTCTTTACAGTCTAAGTTTTCCTTTTGTTCTTCCACAGTCTAAACAAAAACGAAGCAGTCGCAAAGGAAGAGATAGAGGAAAAGATGAAAAGTCTATTGTGGCAGTACAAGACAAGCACCAAAGAGATAGCACTACTAAAAGAACTGTTGAGGACTTTTCTCAGAAGCAGCCTTTTTCTGTGCTTGATAAGGCTGATTCGCTACAGGAAGTTTCTGAAGTTTCTGATATAGGTGATGACGTTGCTGAGACACTTCAACCAGATTTGGAAGAGAGGGATTCTAGTCATGTCAATTGGGATACTGACACATCAGAGGTACATCCTACTACAGAAGCCAGTAGCAGTGGAATGAATAGCCTTCCTGTACAAAATGGGCGATCTGAGAGGAAGAGCCAATCTGTAATGGATGATAGCTCTTCAACATGTTCTACAGACTCCATCCCATCAATAGTGATGAATGGGCCCTACAAAGGAAGTTCCTTGCCAAAGTATAAGAACCATACATCTCCCAACAGGTTAGAAATTGATCCTTGTGCAACTCACACTCATATTAGAAGGAACCTATTTGATTTTTCATTTTTTTTTTTTTTAATTCTAATCTGTAGGTTGAAGAACGAGCGTGGCAAGGAGACATGTGACCGGGTTAATTGGAGCCATGATATGGATAACCAACCATCTGACCAAACATCAGATGCAGGGCCTCTAAATGATGCCTCTGAAAGTAGCAGGGAAGCTGAAACTGAACCTGAGACTGTTGTTCTCTCATTGAAGGATCGGATACAGTGGCTTGAGCAGCATTTAGTTCAGAAGGTCAAAGTATTATCTTTTCCCTTCGCTTTTTATTTCAGGAATAGCAAAAGACTTACTGTTTTTGTGGCTACTGGTCTAACGAAGTAAACAATACCTAGGACAGTAAATATTGTAATTGTCCTCTGTTTTGTTTTTGGTGAAAAAGGCATTAGACCTGCAATATATGTATAAATCTATCTAAAATGACATATGTATATGGATCTATTCGACTGGCTTGCAAGCCTCACAAGATTCCATTCCCCCCATCAGGTATGGATCTGGATTTTGCCAGATCTAACCCGTTTCATGCTCTAGAAACTACGTCTCCCTCTACTACTACTACCCATGCCTAAGTTTTTTATTTCCTTAATGCATACCCTCCTTGTGCATCAAGGGTTTAAATTATTATTTTTTTGATCAGTAACAATGGAATTTTTTTTTAAAAAAGATTGAGATAATCTGAATTACAATACAAAGGAGGGAGCTAAAGAATCTTAATTCCCAACCCCAAGGTACATCCTGACCATGAAGCAATTACAATTACAATTACAAAACAGCCCAAAACATAGTATCTGTTTACCCCTTGTCTAGCTAGACCATCTGCCAATGCATTTGCACTTCTCTTTATCCATGTAAAATGTATTTCCATGTCCTTGGTGAGCCACTTGAACTTCCTCTTTTCATTGCTGTATTTCCAGAGCATAGAACTGTCCTCTGTTAGCCAATTCACCACAATTTCAGAATCACCTTCAAGGGTTTAAATTATCAAATTGTAATTTAACTAATATATAGATGGAATGTTAGTTCTTGTCCTCCAATTTTATTGTTGGTCGATGGAATCCATGTTCATAACTATTCCTTAATTCTAGAGATATAGGCATGTTTTGCACCTTTTTGGTTCTTTATGCAATTCAGTAAATCTATGACTAGACTTCTCAGTTCTCATTTAGTCTTGATGGGCTGTTGTTGATCCTCATTTTGTCAGGAAGAAGAAGTTGTTTCACTGCAACGAAAGCTCAGTGTAAAAGAGCAGGTAGATATTGAAAGACCTGCCAAACAAAACACAACAGAATTATCATCCTCTCCCTGCAGTTCCACCAGAAACCAGTCTTGCAATGTCTTGCCAAAGCCAGTTGCTGAAGGCACTGCTCCAACTGAACCAGTTCAAGCTAGGGAGATGTCTTCAAATATCTCATGGCAAATTGAGAAGGCTGTGCCGCCATTAACATCACAGCCCCAGGTTTCTACTATGTCCAAATCAAGTACTCAAAAGCCTGTATCTCCAAAGAAGCCCACACCGACGCCAATGGAAAAATCCACAGCACAAACATCAGCTATGTCAAGGCCGTCAAGTGCTCCTCTGATCCCTGGTCCCAGGCCAACTGCTCCTGTTGTTTCCATGGTTCAAACAGCACAGTTGTTATCACGGTCAGTGAGTGCAGCAGGACGGTTGGGCACTGATCACTCACAAGCGACCCAGAGCTATGTTCCTCAGTCCTACAGAAATGCCATAATGGGTAAAACTGTATCTGCAAGCCCAGCTGGTTTTGTTCCTCGCCACTCTTCAAGTTCAGCAGTAAATTCAGTACCAGTTTTCTCCCAATCTCCTCCTGCCTTTGTATCCTCGCCAATGCTTTCAGCTCAAAGCTCCACAAGGGTGGACCAGGGCTTGGTCAGGTCAGGCTTTACTTTCGGCAGCGTTACACCTGAAATACTGCAGAATCGACCACAGTGGTTGGAAGAGTGCTCACAAAGGGATGCCAACAACAAACTCCGTGATCCATCTATGCTTAATGGAATTCAAAACCTTAACTTATATGGTCCTGGCAGTAGTGGATCCAGGACATACTTTGCAGATGATTTGACAGCCAGCATGTCAGCACGTCAGGCACAAGGGGTGTCGGCAGATGAGTTTCCCCACCTTGATATCATTAACTACCTGCTTGACGAGGAGCACAATATTGGAAAGGCAGCTAAGGCGAGTACAGTCTTCCAGAGTTCCACTAATGGGCATCATCATCCCCTCTTGAATCGGCAATTAACTTTTCCTTCCGAAATGGGTTTATCAACGGATATAGGAACATCTTTCAATTGTTGCAGGTTAGATCGTCCAACAAGTTACCATGATGATGGGGTGCGGCGGATCTATGGCTCCTCCAGTGGTCATTTTGATGGACTGAGGGATGTATCCCAAGTTGGTCTGTCCGTCTATACAAATGGTCAGATTGATGGTGTGATTCAAAGTCAGTGGCCAGTGGGTGGTGCTGATCTTTCTTTGCTTAGTGTAAGGAATGCTGAGGGTGATGGGTACTCGTTTCAACTGCCAGAGTACTCAAATCTGGCTTGTGGGGTCAATGGTTATGCTGTATTCCGGCCTTCTACTGGACATTGATAGGGGCCTATGATGTGACAATGCACCTGCAAGCAATTGCTCGACATCTGTCACTATTCACAATAATGTACGAGGAAATTTGTGGGTCTCAGCTTTGGAGTGAAGTTGTAATCCTTTGATAAGAAACGCTTTGTAAAGAGTGGTTCTGCCTTCTTTGTTCCAGTTGGCCTTGATTGTATGTGTGTTATCCAATGTAGAACAGTGCTCGATCTCTAGACCCCCTAGGATTTACAGCGGGAAGGTTGAATTCTAGCAACCAATCCTGGCCCCGATGTTAGGGGCTTTGCTGGAATCTGCTTAGCCTAGTTATTTAGCAACGAAGTCATTAGTATTCATTTCTAACAGGTCTCGAAATCAAACTGTTGGTGTACCGATTTTACAAAAATAATTAATACTAAATTACTAACACAGCAGTTTTCTCAGCAATTACTATTTTTTTTTCTTTCGTGGATGAGGGCGATCGTTTTCGCCTGAAGCAAGCCGGACAAAAACCCAGAGTTGTGATGGCAATTCCAATGAATGCAGAAGGATTGGCTGTTGGAAATCTAGCCATTTACAGAGTTCCCAACTCCCAAGGCTTTAACTTTGTGGAGATCACTGTTTTCAAAACTGGGCCGGACCGGATGGTTGGATCGGAAAAACCGGCAACCAGTCACCTGATCGGTTCTGTTTTCCTCCAAAACCGCTTTTTCCCTCTAAACCGTTGATTTTGGTCAGTAAACCGTTGAACCGGCTGGTTAACCGTTTGAACTGTTTGAACGGTTTTGATCGTTCTCTAATTTTTTATTTATTTGTCAGAACGGACCGACCATTTGAATCGATAACCGGACCCTTGATCGGTTCGGTCACCAGTTCGTTTTTTAAAACCATGGCATGAATTTGCAGTCGCGAGTCACCGGTCCATTCTGTATTGCCTTTAATATCAATAAAAAGTAATATTTTTATATAATAACTAAAATAGGATAAACTTTTTGAAATAATATAAAAAAGGAGCACTGTTGTTCATCTTCTTCCTCTGCTGTTTATGCGAATGTTTCTAACATTTCGGCGCTCCACCCCTTTGAACCCATCATAGCCCTCTATTATTGCCTTCATGAACGGCACGAATACCCCAGACATAGCCTTCTGCATTAGCTTTGAGGAGCCATCAGCGATGTGCTCTGAGAAGACGTCGTAGCTGGTGAGCATTCGAAGGATGCTCTGGAGGTTGTTGAGATCGCCGGTTGGGAGGACACGTGCTAAGATCTCGGAGGTGGAGAGAGGGACGTTGGAGCTACCTTGCCGGATGGCGTTGGTGACCTTGAGGCAGACGATGGCGTTGAGGGACATCGGGACGCTGATGTTGACGAGCTCCAGTATGGCCAACCTGGAGTTGTTTTGGGTTTCCGTTTTCTCGTCCGCCATGGCCGTAGAGCTTTGCTTCTGTGTTTCCGTTTTCCGTTGTTTCGTTTGCGGGCATAGTTATCGCCGACGACTTTAACCTCTCACGAATACAGAGTGAGAGGAGGAAGACGAGCAGTGTGCCCTTGTATATATATTTTTAAATTTACCCTATTTTAGTTATTATATAAAATCATTATTTCTTTTTTATATTAAAAACAAAAAGTTGTCTTTATCTACAAAAAACCCTATATTTTAACCGTTTGAATCCATGCCTCTGCTGGAACAAACCAGCTAATGCACCAACAGAGCCACCCCTGGGCTCTATGTATGGTTGATGTCTTGGAGGACACTGAACTATATCAGAAAGCACTTTAAACAAAGAGAAAAGTGGTAATAGAAACTAGAAAGTATCATATGTATGGATGCATAAAGCATATAAATATATGAAACAAATGATTTTATAATCTATAGATATCGACATTTTGGCATCTTGCAATAACACTACTGCATCAACTAATGCTTTAACTCCCAATCTACTAAGAATTCAAGATATATTATAGGGAGAATGATGGTTCAGCCCAGGGTTAAAATTTTTAGATCCAAATTACAGTTAGGGTGGGTGCTAGCTTAGAATTAATGCCAATTCACAGGTGGGCATTGATATTTAGAGTGTGGATTTTTTTGACATTTTGAATATTTATAACTCTACCGTAGAAATCAGAAATCTGCATTGAACCCGTCCATACTTCTCCATATATTATAATGCTTTTATCATCATTTTTTTCTTTGGCTTCAGCCATTCCCTCATCTATAACCCCCTCCCCAAGCCTGGTGGCAATGGGAATGTCTCAATTACCAATTGAGCCATCATCAGTTGGTTCTTTCATCATTATCATCATCATATTTTTTATGTTTTGTCATCATCAATTTCTATATATATTAATTGATTAATTATTTATTTTATATTAAATTATTGGTAATCATAGAAATATGTAGTCAATCTAAAAAATATATATTAAATTTACATCCATGATAATGGTAGAATATTCATAATTTCAATTTTCAACTATCTAAACAACTATTAAAGTCAGATATATTTTAGTTATTTTTTAGTTTTATAAATCACCAAAAAAATAACTTTAGGTAATCAACTGTACGTGTTAGATACCTAAATCATATCTATATTCAAAACTTTAAATCCAAATATTGAATTTTAAATAAAAGCTTACATTAGATTTATTTTTATTTATGTAAATTACTAAAAGATTAGTCACATGGTCAACTTGATCTTAATATACTAGCTACCAACCTTCAACAAAGTACTAGATGTGTTAAACACTTAAAATAGTAATATGCTACTTTTTTAAATGAAATTATTTAGTAATTAAAAAAATCAGTCTTAATTTTAAAAACAGCTTGAATGCATGAAATAATGGTAGAGGCGTAGAGCAACCACAACCACAAATCCATGTATCCACGATATAACTCATGCAAATATGGAATTCATAATTTTTTTTATTAAAATAATCATTTCATAATTTTATATGTTTGAACTTGCTAAAAAAATTAAGAAATTTATTTTTTAAAATAAAATTTTAATGGATCCATGGGTAGGACAGATTATCCACGGATCCACACTATAATTCTTTGTTATAAATGGATCATGAAAAATTTTTATGATTTTTCATCGTCTCAAAATAAAAAAAAATCCATATATCCACTTAAAGATGCAAAAGACATCAAATTTTAGAGCACATACCATTATATCAATATGTTTGAAGAAACAAAACATGTAATTTTAGTAAAATATATGAATTCGAACAAAAAATCACAAGAAAACAGAACTTTTACCGAATTGCACTTAACCCACATTGAGGAAATAAATCTCAGATTTTGATTCTTTTTGTTACCATTTTTATTTTTATTTTTTATTTTTTACAGAGTGGCCGGCTGGCTGCTGTACCCACATTCTCACACTTGTTGGCCCGAGATTCTACCATTTTACCAATGGCCCATAAAATCGGAATTAGTCATGTATTCAATTCAGGTGAAGCGAAAACGTTAATATGATTTGTTTTTGAAGCTACGAGAATCCAATTGGATGGACAAAATGAACATTACCTGGGACTAACATCTATAGTAAATTAATGTACCATTGGAGAGAAAAATTTCAAAATTTTTACTCCTTACAAACAAAAGATTGAAAAATTTTACAATAGAATGGAGCAAAAATGGATGTGTCAATGGATAGAGTCCACTGACATTTCCCCTCTGAAGCATTGAATTATACATGGCAAGGAGAAGTCAAAGAAACAGCCTTAGTCCAAAGAAGAAAAGCAATCTGCTGACAGCATGAGGTTATCCAAACATCAAAAGGATTCCAATCTGATCAATGAATGAGATAAACGGAAGAAGGCGAAGCTGGAAGAGAACCCATACATATGGCGCTCTGCAGAGACCAGGGAGTGATTACTCAGAACGTGGTAATAAAAATACAAATCCTGAATTCTCACGAATTAGTGGTGGTGGTTCTATGTCAGAGATGTCAATCTGTTCCATTGACTTTGATATGTCATCAACTGAAAATGGTATGCTGCAATATGAATAACATAAGAGGGATCAGCATTAGCCACATCACCAGATTCCCACAAAAAACACAATGAATTTATAGGTCCTATATCTTACCTCGAATCATCATCCAACAAGAAAGAGTTGCTGACAGCATTGTTGGAATCTTCAGTCATCAACACCCTCATGTTGGATATAACCTAATGACACATCCCATAGGAGAAAACAACCAAAGTCAGGCTTTATGTGAGCTATTGCTACTAGGGACTTACAACTTATCATCACCCAGTATGAAAAAGACAATGATCAAAACCTAGTTTACGTTACTTGCATCCATTAATAACTTACATCCGAAGACACACTATGTGTTCCATACTTGTCATCCCAGTACATTGTACTAATCCTGTACAGCTGTTGTATGCTAAGCACCTATAGGTAGAGAACAAAAGATGGTTGAGATCCAAGAAAGATGTGTGGGGAGGAAGAAATGTCTCGGAAATTTTGAGAATACATCTCACCGGGCACAGGTCATGGCTTATTTCATCTAATGTTTTCTTTGGTTTTTGATGTATGACCTGAAACAGGCAAAGTAATATATCAAGAATGTTCGTGATATAAATAGGGATTCATTTTAATATCATATATGTTGCTATACTGTAGTAGGGCAGTATAGTTATTGTACTGCTTCTCTTTGTTATGCTAGAAACCAAGAAAACACAATAAAATGCAAAACAGAGAACACAGTAGATTTAATGTGGTTTTGCGTTTATGTGATTATGTCCATGGAAGATCCCTGTCAAACTCACTACAATTCAATAGAATATATCTCTAGCAAACAGACTAGATTTTATTTTGTTGGAGAAGATTCCTCAATGCTTTCCCAATTTGAAAAGGACTATACATATGGTAAAACAAATATAAAAAATACCCCTATGGATGAGGGAACAGGTCCCTGTTCTCAAATCTCAATGTTTTCTCAAAACCCCTGTATTGCTTGTAAGAAAGTCCCAATGCAAGCCACCTATTCATCAATCGTAATGAACAAATGAAGGAATAGGAAATTCAGCAACCTATTCCTGTTTCTACCCAAAATACCCTTGTTCTTTCTCATCTCCTCTTATCTCTCATCAATCACCTTACATAATCACTGAAATATGGTTTTCTACTAAGAGAATTTTAGCATTATTCTAAACTTGGGACCTCTAAAATGTTAGCTTTTCCATGTTTTATATGTTTCACAATCTTTCCTCAGACATGAGATCTCAACTATCTAAGGTGGTGGATCACTTGTCATAGTTTCTCTTGTTCCAAAGGTGTATAGTAAAAATTGTGGTAGAGAAGAAACAATAGACAGGAGGAGAATACCAGGAACCCAATGGCCTGTCTGATATGCTTGAGCTCATCCCAAGCTGAACCTGCATACTGCAATTCTTTTTCTCTTTAATCAAGAAAGTAGGAAAATATGATCAATCAGGGACATTGATGTTAATCAAATAAACCAACCTCATCAGTTGCTTTATAGCACCAATGTTCTAGTTCAGCCAAACCTGCCTTCACATAYTCACCATTGCTAAATGAGCAGCACTCTCGCCTTAACAACAGGCTGCAAACAGAATGAGGATACCATCAAAATCGATGTTCATATAGAGTACAAACAGCCTTGAAAGCACAACACAAGCAAATAAATACAAACAAAATACCTGTTAAATAGTTGTACATTGATGAAAGAAAAAATTTGTGTGAAAACCTTACGGACTAAAAAGGGGGGCACCTGAGAACAAGATATGAAAATGGTGTGTAAAAACCTACTTTTCAAAATAAATGATAAAGTTGCATTTAGAGTTTGAAGGATCCACTCAAAAATGTTAGAGAACTTGCAGGTTCAGCCAGTTGGCCAAACATGGCAACCACTTATAATTTGAACATTTGGGAATCACTACAGACTCCAGAGTTGCAGTGGACCATGTCACATAGTAATGCCATCCTGTCCAATGGATGGAAATTCAAAACACACACACATGCACACATAAAGAGAAAAACAGAAGTAAGAAATTCCGCTAACATGATTGGCTTTCAATGTGTTCAAGAAATTTCCAAGGCTTTTCACTATTCCTTGCCAGTGAGCAATCAAAGCTTGTTGAGCTGCTGCATTTGCAAGTGAGCGGGATGATCCCTTAACTAAGCTTGCTCTGGAGGTTCTTGGTGCCTGCACCACCCAAGCCATACATAGATATTATGTCCTTAAGGGTCTGAAAACGGTATACAATATTATAGTAACCAAAAGCAGACAAATACCGTTTAAGTATGTCAAATTAACAGAAATGGATACCTGGATACATAACCCAAGCAAAGGAGAGATCTCCTTCTTTAGGTTATCTCGAATCATTCCATAAATCTTTTCTACATATGCTGTTAGTTGCTGTTTAAAAAGTAAAGCAGGATATTTGGCTTCAACTTGGCGCAAGGTGTCTACTCCACCACTCAACCCACCATTGACAAAAGAAAGGTTAACACCTTGTGGAGCCCCTCGAAAACTCTATGGGTACAGTTATTGAAGGTAAATTAGAAGACATGGGCATAAAACCATATTAAACATTAGAAACAAAATGAAACTCCTTTTTACCTGAGTCATCCTTCCGAATAAGGTAGCTGATGATGATCGGCGTCGTTGTGGAGCCATGCCAGCTGCACCACTTGCTTTTAGTGTTCGCTGGAGTAGCAACAACAAAGTTGATGCGTTGGATAACCAATAAGCTAAGACATCATTGTTATCCTGGGTCTTCAATGCATAGATCAAGTGGAAGTTAGAAAAAAAGTTAGTTGTTATGCTTGGAGATAAAAGAAAAAGAATAAAAAGCATAGAAACTAGATGGTTCAAACCTCAATGGCATGACCAATTGTTTGAATTATGCGGTCAAAAACACTGGTGCGCTCAACTTCAAATGATCTCCACTGGAGAAGGCATTTGTATATGATACATGCAGCAATTGGTCTGCTCCCTGAGAAGCCTAGGTGCTGCGCAATACACCTAATGAGCAAGTCTTGGTTCTCTTGCTGTTTCTCATTGAGTGACTTTTGTGGTTTTTCCTCCAACTCTGAATGTTCCCTTGGGGTTTTTGGACTATGAATTTCCTATCATATTCCAGAGATAAACATAAAATATAAAGTCAGAAGCAAAATTTGATAAGAATATGGACAAAATAATAATCCTATGAGAGCTTCCACTTACTACAGGTGTCTTAGAATCCCCCGCAATGTGACTAGTATCAACAGTTCTCTGCGAATCATCAGACGTTAAGAACATATGTGAAGTCAAAAATTCTAATAGAGTCAAATAGGTGTTCTGTTAGGAATACCTGGCTAATTGATTTAGAACGTCCTGAAAGAAACTTTGTATTGGCTGCCATGGACAAAGCTTGCTGGCGGAGAACTTGATTTTCCGACTCTAAGTTGGTAAGTTTCTCTTCGAGCCTAAGTGCAAAAGCATAGATATTCTGTTAAATACTCCATATGAAATGGAAGACTTAGGTTGGTTGTTTTCAAATATCAAATATAAATATAAATCCTTAGTAGGTGGCCCTATGGATTATGATTAATTTGTCATACATCATAACAGAAAATCTTGGAATAAACATTCATATCACTGCCACATGGACAGAATAATTACATCCTCAATAAATTAATATACTTGCTTAAATATTTAATAGCATTTTATACAGATGTAAAAAGCTTAAGATTGCTTCTTCAAGAAACAAAGAAAACATAAGATGTAAAAACTTATTTTTCAATCTCTACCTTGCTCTTAATGGAATTTATATGCATTAAGCAAACTTCTGTGGTTGACAACCAGGATGTTGCTAGAGTTATTCTCTGCTGTTATGTGTTTACTGTTGGTCCTAGGGTGCTGTCAGCACATGTAATTTTCCCTTTTGTTTTCTCATGTTATTATAAATAGAAGACTGGGTGCCGCCAGCCAAGATTTTTGGATCTCAAACAGTTTTCCTTCTTCTCCTCTCTTCCTCCTCTCTTTTCTAGAAGAAAACATGGTATCAGAGCATCATTCTGGGCAATGGGGATCTTTCTTTCTCTCTGAATCACATTTTTTTTCATCCAGATTTCTGATTTTTGGATTGTGAAGACAAAAACCCTAATCGGACTGGTTAGAACACTCATCCTCTGCTGCTTTTTCTGGGTTCTTCCTTAGTCATAACACCATGGAAACCCTAGTTGGTGACAGCCAATGCAGTGAAGGCTGCTTTTCTGGTGTGTACCTTCGTACAGGTACTGTACAGGGGTTGTGTGATTCCCTTTGTCACAGATATGTGCTGTGTTTACTTGGCATATGTGGTGTGTGGTCCAATGGTGATTAGGACTTAATTTCTTGGACTATCTAATTGCTGTCAGTGGAGTTTCAGCAGTGTTTTTTCATTTAGAAAGCAGAATTGTTTGGTGTTCTGTGCCCTACTTGTGATTGTGAGTGGGGACAAATTTTTGTGCACCAGTGGTTCCTTTTTGGTCTGTAGAACCTTTCTTTCATGGGAATTGATGATTTTGCTTCATCTGGGGTTACATCAACCCGTGGTATAGCTAGTATGGGAGTTGAGAATATGATTTTCCCTATGCCAAATTACCCCTCTAAAGGCTTGAACTATATGGAATGGGCTAAAGGTGTAAAACTTTATATTACAACTAAGGGAAAGGCTGGTTACATAAATGGGAGAGTAAAAGAACCTAAGAGTGGGACAACTGAACATGATAGGTGGGATCGGGAGAACAATATGGTGATGTCATGGCTTCTTGTAGCCATGGAACCTGATGTGAAGAGGAATTTTATGTGGGCAGAGACTGCTAGTGAAATATGGGAACAAGCCAAAACCACCTACTCTGAAAAAAGGCACTACGCTGAGATTTATCAGTTATAGGCTGAATCCTCAACCTGTAAATAGGGTGACCTTAGTTTGTTAGCATATTATTCAGCCTTTACTTCGGTATGGAAGGAGTTGGACTACCATTAGGCTATAGAGTGGAAACACGATGATTACGCTAAAGCCTATAAGAAGTTGGTTTCTCAGCAGTTGGCTTTTGTTTTTCTGTTGGGACAAAACCCAGTGTATGAACCTCTCAAAGTTCAGATTTTGGGTAGTAGAGAGTTGCCTTCAATTCAAGAAGTGTATGCCCTAGTTCATTCTGAGGAAAGTAGACAGAGTGTGATGGTTACAACTGAGGGAGAGCAAAAAGTGGTTTTAGTTGCAATGGGTGGTAATAATGTGGGAAAGAAGAGTGATACCAAGAAAGTTGATGACAAGGACAAGTTGTGGGGTACTCATTGCCGGTGTTCAAGACATACACGTGACACATGCTAGGAACTCATAGAGAAGCTGAAGTGGGCTATAAAGAACCAAGAACAGTGTAAGGTGCAGGGACAAAAGAAGTATAATGCAACAAATATGACATATGGCAACACATGCTAGGAGATCATTGACTTAGGGGCCTCTAACGACATGACAAGCCAAATCTTTTCTAGTTTTATAGCCTTTTGTTAGGGAGGGATAAATATCCCTTCCCCATGGCCTTAACCTGAATAATGTGTTGCATGTACCTAAACTCCCCACCAATTTACTTTCCATTAATAGTATCACGAACTCTAAACTGTAGTGTAACCTTTTTTCCTGGTTCATGTGTCTTTCAGGATCTAACTTCTAGGAAGACAATTGGTAAAGGAAGGTTAGTAGATGGTATGGGACAACGATAGAGGAAGCTTAGTAGATGGTCTCTACACTCTCAACAACAAGGCTGGTTTCTTGATGTCATCCTCAGAGTCGCATAGTCAATCGAATGAGTCAATTTTTTTTTTGTGGCATAATCATTTGGGTCATGTGTCATTTGAAATATTGAAGTCTTTGTTTCCTTTTTTTATTTAAATCATGTTTAGTGTCAGATTTCCAATGTCAAACATGTTAGTTGAGCAAGCAATGTAGAACAATTTTTCATTCAAGTAATAAAAGATCAAGTTTCCCTTTCACATTGTGTATTCTGATGTCTGGGACCTACTACTATAACTTCAGAGGGCGGGTATAAGTACTTTATCACACTGATTGATGATTTTTCTCGTTATACGTGGGTATTTCTTGTTACACAATTTCATGCTAAGGTCTAGATTTTTCAATTAGACAATGCAAAAGAATATTTCCATGGTGAGATTAATAAATGTTTTGCTTCCCATGGATCACTTCATAGGAGCTCATACGCGAGAACACCACAACAAAATGGTGTTGCAAAGAAAGAAAGAGCATACACCTTGAAATAGCACGAGGGGTGATGTTACACATGAATGTACCAAAACGTTTTTGGGCAGATGTTGTACTTGCTGCTACATATGTCATCAATTGCATGCCCTCCATAGTATTGAACTACAAGGCCCCCCATCAGTTATTGTTCCCTCAGTCTCCTTTATTTTCCATTCCCATGAGAGTGTTTGGTTGTCGTGCTTTTGTTCATGACTTGTCTCCTTGTGCTAAGTTARACCCTTGGTCTATTCCATGTATCTTTTCCTAGGGTATCCCTCCTCTCAAAAGGGTTATTGGTGCTTTGATCCCATTGGTTGTAAGTATTGTTTCTATGGATGTCTCCTTTTTGAGTATGAACCATTCTTCTCTACTTCTCTTTAGGGGGAGAGTAGCATAGAGGAGGATAAGCAGGTTCATCAAATCTCTCTTCCTTTTATTCCAGATCCTGCTCCTTTTCGTGTCTTCCAAATGAGCCAAGCACCCTTGTTCCAATTGGTTCCCCGGTTCCCATTTCAGTTGTGGATGATCTTGACATCTTGATTGCTCAAAGAAAGGGAGTCAGGTCATGTACTACCAAACGCCCCATTACCCATTGTGTATCCTATGACCATATTTTTCCCTCTTACTGTGCCTTCCTATCTACCGTTGATAGAAGTCCCATACCTAGAAATGTGGCAGAGGCCTTAACTTACCCTGAATGGACATATGCTATGAAGGAGGAGATTAATGTCCTTCATAAGAATCACACTTAGGAGTTGGTGGATCTTCCAAAGGGGAAAGACCTATTAGGGTGTAAGTGGGTGTTTATAGTGAAACACAAGGCAGATGTGATAGTAGAAAGGTACAAAGCAAAGTTGGTAGCAAAGGGGTACACTCAAGTCTATGGTGTTGAGTATGATGGGGCGTTTGCTCTAGTAGCAATTAGCAAAGACGAACTTAGTTCGGGTCCTTCTATCATTAGCTGCAAACATGATTTAAAATGTCCCTAACTTCCCTAATATTTCCATTTCGGTGGGTAGCAACATGAAATTTTACTAAAATCGACATTTCCCCAATGAACACTACCAACACTATGTGGAGTACAAGAGGTAGTTTCCATGACATATTTTCATTTCCACTTCCATTGGTAGCAACATGAAACTTTACTAGAATTGACATGTTCCCCAGTAAACACTACCAATACTATGTGGAGTACAAGAGATACTATTATAACATAAATTGGTGACAATATTGTAGGTATTGTGAAGTAACAAGTTATTGTCCACCTAACTTGTATGCTTACCACTTTGAGCTAACTCAATATTCATTTCAAAAATGAAGTTAAATATTAGTTTTTGTTTGTGTAATAGATTATTCCATTGAACTATTACAACCGTTTACATTTTCTCTGAGTTTAAATTTTGCTTTAACTCATTCTATCACGAAGCTCTGAATCTTATGGTTTACAAGGCAACTTTAGAACGTATTCTTTTGTCTATAACCTTAGTTTCTTAGCTTTGTTTGATGATTTGGAATAAGATAATAATTTACAAAGGTGTGCTTATGCTTCTTTTATCAGTTCATAAAATACCCTTCTATATTTTGCATATTTTACAATGTTTCCACCATATTTATAATTTTTACAATATTTCCATATGATATTTCTGACATGTTTCTTATATTTGGATGACTGACATTTCCACCAACATTGACATTTCAAACCTTGCCTGCAAATCTTGAAAATGCTTTTTTAAATGGTGATTTAGAAGAGGTGTATATGGTTCAGACACCAGGCTTYTGTGCCGAAGTGAAAATAAGGTATGCTAGTTAAGAAAGTCTCTCTATGGCTTAAAACAATCTCCCAGGGCATGGTTCAATAGGTTTCATATGGCGGTTCAGCAAGTAGGGTTAAACAATGTTAGTCTGATCACACTCTCTTTGTTAAGAGGTGTTAGGAACAGGTTGCAATGTTGATAGTGTATGTGGATGACATCATCATTACAAGGAACTGGAGATATGAAATACAAAGGTTGAAGGAAGTACTTTCTTGGCATTGAGGTTGCCCGCTCAAAAAGGGGCATCTTCATCTCTCAAAGGAAGTACATCCTTGATCTGTTACAAGACACATGCTAGCTAGGTGCAAAGCCAGTGGATACTCCTATGGATGTTGACCATAAACTGGGTGATTGCGATGGTGAACCTCTG